CCCCCGGGTTTTAACTTTTTCGTTAATATCTACCAATGCCATGCCGATAATATCATGCATCCTTATTTTGGAAACCACATGAGTGAAAAATAATAATTGAACTCATCATACTGTGATAAAATTACGTCAGCCCTCAATATTTCTGCTAAATACCTGCTCAAACTTTTGATTTAAGAACAAAGTAATTGGTATTGTTCTTATTTTAAAACTATACATGAGAAATGGATTTATTGCAGCTTTTACTGTGATCAAAAATGGTCATTGTCAATTTTTATTTCTTTTATTTTTAAAAAAATTAGAGGTTGATGGAGCTGTCTGTTTTTATTTCTTTAAGCTTCTTTAAGCAAACTGCAGAGCTTTTTTAATATTTGATTTCATTTCTGAAAAAAGAAAAACAATGTCCCTAAAAACAGTAACATTCTTTTGACTCGTACATACGAAAACATTTCAAAACAATAGTTTAAATCTAGTTAATTTGACTTAAGTAGTTGGACCTGATTCACTTTGTTTCAGCCTTGGTGATCTTGGACGTTGAGGCCGACTAGACGGATATTTAATTTTTTTCTCCAAAGAGGGGTATAACATGGAAAGTTTGAGAACCACTGCATTAAAGTAGCTTCTAAATGTTTTGTTTTCTACATTTATTTACATGAAAATACCTCTGCCATTTATTAGACGTCAAGAAAAGTAGAATGAATTTGAACTGGTTTGATATGGAGTTGTGTCTGCTGTCGTCTCTAAGCAGCTGCTGTGAGATACATTTGTAACGTCTGTGAGTCTGGTGGGAAAGACTGCGTTTCTGAGAGATTTAATGCCAAAATATCACAGCGTATGCAACGAGTCACAGAAAGAAGGGCCCTGATTGATCAGGTTTTACTTAAGTAGTTCAAGAATGGTTCTACAAATTTATAAATTAACAAACTTGCACAAATTCACAAGTTTGAAAACGATTTAATTATGGAAAATGCAGAGTTTAAAGACGGCTTCTTGAGCTACATCTGGGCTCTTTGCAGGTTTTCCATTTGGGCAAAAATCTCAACCATGTTGTAGAGGAAGAAAGATAAATATACAAAAGATTTTTTTTAAATCTATGTGTTTATTAGATTCTGATTTCAAACTTCTGTGTACGCAATGTTAATAAAGAATCAAAACGATGACACTGTGTCTATTTCAAACCTTGAGAAATGTAGCGGTACTTTGATCTATTCAGTTCAGTTTATTTATATTGCACTAAGTCACAGCAGAAGTCATCTCAGGGCACTGAACAGAAACATTCATATATAAAAATAATAATTGAGCATTATTTATCTGAGGAGCAGACTGTTTTGAATTCAACTCCACAGAACTCTCGTCTTGAGCAAGCATGAAGGCGACTGTGGGAAGGAAAAATTCCCTCATGAGGAAGAAACCTTTAGCAGAACCAGGCTCAGAGCAAGCGGCCATCTGCCATGAAGAATGCCAAATAAACTTTGCAACATGTAACAATAACTTCAGTGTAGATTTGAAAACTAGCCAAGCTTTTAGGTCGGTAATATCTTTTAGTGCAGGGGTGTCCGTACTTTTCCATCATGCAGCTCCTTAAAATAATCAAGTCAAAGTGATCTACCTGCTGTAAGGCCCCGTTTACACGACAACCACCTCTGGAAACTAGTGTTTTTTCAATGTTTATTGGGGGTAATAAAAAAATGAGCGGGTTTACACAAAAACACTAGTTTCCATGTCATTTGGGTTGCCAGATAAGAAATTATGAAGTACAA